GGGGGGGGGCTCCGGCCGCCCTGCCTGTCAGGAGGCGGCAGCAGACAAAGCGCTTGGCGGGTGGCTCTGGAGAACAGGGCCCTGGCATGACGTGGCTTCTGCAGGAGAGGAGCTGCAAGGGGATTCGTGTTCCCTGCTGCCTCCCGGAGGAGCCCAAACAGCGAGGATGCTCCTGGAGAAAGGCAGGGCCCTGGCAGAGAGTTCTGGGGCATGGGCAGAAGAGGGTGGCACTCAGCCCCACGGACCAGTCTGAACTGCAGCCCCAAGCATCTCAACAACATGGCAGAGGCCGGGGAGCCGCAAGGCCTGGGCTGGGGAGCTGCTCCCTACTCCGCATTCAGGCCCCCTCTGGCTCAGCGGAGGAGGGCGCCATCCCCAGCTGCTCTGGAAACCTCCGATCTCCTGTTACCACGTCAAAGGTCACAGTGCAGGCTTCTCCCGGGCCGCCCTGCTAACGTGTCTGGAGGCGCCAGCTCTAAGACAGGAGAGCTCCAATTCTGTGGCCCATTCGATCTTCAGCCTCCTGCCAAAATGGCCAAAACTAAGGCCAAGCCCCTGGACCGGAGCACTGCAATGTTAACACCCAACCACGGGGAGCTTCGTCCATCCAGCTAGCTCCTCCACAAGCCACAGCTTTGCTTCTCGCTGCTGTAGCCTTCCGCACACGGCTCAAGTTTTGGCCCGAGAGGCTTACCAACCACAAAAGTTCACGTTCAGGTCCTGCCAGCCAATGCCCAAAGGAAAGGACCCCAATTAAGGCCAGGCTACCCCAGTTTAACACCCCTATACAGCATCACACAGGCTGTACAGCTCAAACAGGCTCGCCTCTGGAGGGCAGACAAGCCCTTGGTCTGATGAATGGAGCCAGCCACACACTGCTGCGGCTGTACCAAACGGCAGAGCCAGACAAAAGAGCTTGGCGGGTGGTTCTGGAGAACAGGGCCCTGGCGTGACGTGGCTTCTGCAGGAGAGGAGCTGCAAGGGGTTGCCTCTATCACTTGGCTTCTCCCGCACTGGCAGTCTGCAACCACAGTAGCCTATTCTGCTAATCTCTTTGCGGATGAACAATCCTTTTGATCCACACAGGATACCACCTCCTCCACTCAAGATCTTCTTTTTCTACCTCACGTTCCACTGCCCTGAACTTTCCATCCCACGCCCGTAAATATGTATCACCCACCAACCCTCTTAAAATATGCCCTGCAAAGCTCCTTCCATAGAAATCGCAAACTAGCATTTGTTGATTTCCAATCACCTCCAATACTTTTGCCATCAGTTGCGCAGTCTGTCCATGGTGTTTTCAGAATTCTTCTATGAACACTAGTTAAGTCAAAGGATTGTATTGTCTTTAATGTCCATGTTTCACAGTCATAGTTTGACACAGACCAAAAGCATGTTTAAGAGTCAGAATTCAGTCTTCCGTGTATCTCTCTTCACCAGATGTTTATTTCTCCAGGGTCTTTTGCTTTTCCTATTCAGCATTCGATCTTCACTGGGATATTGCATGTTTTCCAGGATCGCTGCATATCACTATGCTTTATGTCCTGTCCACATTCGACTCAAGACCATACTCCCCTGCCATATCTTCTCTCCCTTCATCAAGCCTTCTGAATCAGCCAACAGTAGATCAATCTGCATAGCAAATATTAACCAACCATTTCCATTTATCTGAATACCTCCTTCTAGTTCTTCAAATAATTTCCTAACTCACACACTATCCACGTTGAACAAAGTTGGTGACATTATACAACGTTCTCTCACTCCTCTCTTGATCTCCATTAAGTTTCCATTTTCACCTCCCATTGC